GCAGTTTACAAATTGATTCTTCTGACAGATTTTCAAATTAAATAATTATAAAATCCTCTTTTATTGAATCAGTAATTATACTGTGGCAAGAATTCTTCAGGATGATAACTCTAGACAAGAGTATTGTATTACAAAGGCTTAAGCTTTGCAGAGTCTAGTAAAATGTAAATTACCAAAACTGCCATCTTCAAGAACTGACATAGCACATAAATAGTGAGATTAGGAACTCAATGGAAATTGTGGTAATGAAACTGGAAATGAAAGTAATTTTCTTCTAGTTAGGTTGGCTGGCTGCAGAAGGTTTTATGGATCATCATCCACAATTTCAATTTTGAACGTAAGAGAAATGGTTTCACCAGATTTTCTAAGATAAGTTAGTAAAGAATAATATTTTTGTATCGACAAAATAGAAAACATATGGTTCATCCCATGCATGGCATTCTGGACTGGTTTTTGTTACTCGTTGACCCTGTCTTTTCAATCTTGCTACTGAGAGTTTGGGTTGACCACACCACCTCACCGTTGAAAATTAATACTAGTTGACTCCTTCTGTGCTGTTCATATGAAGCCAAAAAAAATAATAACGGGAAGAATAACTTGCCTGTATGCTGTTTGGAAACTCCTCTGACGCTCTGCTTTAAAAACACTCCATAGTAGCATACTATATCTCCTTGCAGCTGGAAAAAAAAGGGCAAGGAAAAGTATAATATTGCTTAAGATTAAACAGAACCATTAAAGACAGGGAGAAATTGAATAAAATTAAAGTCTTGCTTGTCTCTAATGAAGTGTTTGAACAGTGAAAAGATTGAAAATTCTTTTTCTTAAACAACCCACTCTAGACTTTAAATGTAAATACATTTATTCCAAAGAAATGAAAGGTCACTAGTTTTATCACAAGGTTATTTTGGTTCATGTTGTAAGGGTAAACATTCAAACAAAAGAAAAATCTACTTTTCTTCCCACCATCCCATTTGTTAAGCAAAGTTTTGATGACTCAGGGCATGCATGAGCAAAGGAATAGAGAATCTTTTCATTGCTAGAGTGCCTGTTGATTTAACACAGTTTGGTTAGTAACTTTTTTTAACTCCTCAAAGGCAGTAAATAAAGTACTTCTGTTACGTTACTAGGGGTAGCTGCATAAATCCTGCATGTTGGAATTTATTTCATGTGTTTACGTGTGCCTGCAGATTACAGAAGGTTTTGTTTTCTTCTGTATTACCTCAATCTTTCTTGATGCTAGCACTACTGTTGTGACTTCTGTTATGGGCATTTCTACATGGGGATTCTTTACTAGTTTGAGAGCACCTTCTGCTCCGAGACCTCCAGAGATGGACAAGTGAGCTGCTTTGTATTGACACTGATATAAAGGAAATCTTTGCCTCCTGTTTTGTATTATTTTGTTTTGTTTTACAGTGCTGTGGCTCTGTGGAGAGAAATCTTGCTGCACCTCTCCTCGTAATTCCTGAGCTTGAGTTCCTGTAAAGTCTGATAGCTCTGATAGCCGCTCAGTGCACCTAAATCAGTGGATGCTGGGGTGTTGTTGTTTTGAGTAGGAAAAAAAAAATGTAAGGGGATTTTTGATGCTATAGAACCTGCAGCTGCGTTAGTGGAACTGTGAATTTGGCTCCTCGCGCTCTGCAGTTCAGGTTAGGGTTGATGACAAACAGCTTTCCAAAGTTTGGGGAAAGAAAATGATGGTGTGGAAATTCTTACTGGCAATAAACCGGTAATGTTATGGATGATATAGTACTTTGCTGATATAAAATATGTAGCATTTTGGCTAATAGCCTGCAGGGAGAACTCCAGAATGGATTATCAGAGTTTGTATGCAGAGCAAAGCTTATAGGTCTGCCTAGAAATTTATTTCTCCAGATGGTTTCTAAGAGAAGGAGGAAAATGCAATTAGACAGGTCTTTTTTTTTTTTTTTATGTGTGTAGTACTTAGTTTGGGAGGTCTCCAAGAAGAGAGGATGACCAAACTCTGAACACTGGAAATGGGATAGATAGAAGCTGAAAAGGAAATAGTTTCCTTCAGACGGAATTTTAGTGTTGTCTTAACAGATTGTTTTTTATAGTCTTATTTTATTTTTGTAGCTGTACAATTAGTGAGTAGAATAAGGGGATACAACATATACATAAATTTGATTGGCTTTATTATATCCTTTAGGTAAAAACTTTTACGTATATGAAGAGAGATCATTTTGGAAATTAATTTAACTGTCAGGTAAATACTTGTTTTTAGACATTTCCAGGGCCTACTAACACAGCTTTGACAAGTGAATGCACAACTTTTATTTTAGTGAATCAGTTCTTATTCATGGCTATTTGTTTTTTAATGTTACAGCCCATCTTTTACAGTCCATCTACCTCAAGGCAGCTTACATGGGGTTTAATCCCTACAACAGCAACCCTTGAAGTAGTCCAAGCTGAGAGAAAGTGACCCCTCAAATACCTTAATCACTACATTACATGAGGCATTCTTCTTGGAATTTATAAACTGAATAAGCTTTTTTTTTAATTTTTCAGAATATCTAATTTGGAGGGGAACAGATTAGGATAGAGGTGTTTTATAGGTGCTGTAACAAAGGATTTTTTTTTATTTCAGATGGTTATTTTAGAAAACAGAGTTCTGTATATATCTATATTGCAGAATATTTCATTATCACAATTGACTTAAATTGCATTCATGTTATTTTTACCACAGATGATACTAGACAACTTCTTGGAACCAGGCTATAGCAAACTAGCTGCAAAAAAAAAAAAAAAAAAGTGGAGATGTCTATGTAGCCACTAGGAACTGAGTTCAAAGGATATTTTACTGCTTTATATGGTCTTTTTTAAAAAAATAGTATTGTTTCTACATCTAGACTAATATTTAAAAGAGAATATTTTACCCCTTGCAAACTGAAGAAAAATTAGTAAGCACTAAAGGGATAGTCTCGTCAACAAGGTGCTACAACACCTTTGTGTGAGGTCCATCAACTCCCAAATTAATATATTATTATTAAATGGCTGAAATATCACAAAGTGTTTGTATTATATGGAAGTGTTCAAATTTTTGCATTAAATTATCAATACATATATATTGCATCTATACACTTTACATGTAGTAACATAGGACCTTTGTGAAAAATGTTGCCAAGTAGTTCATTACTTAGAAGTGCTTCGTATATTTTTAAAAATACCTTAACCACAGTGTATTCTATGCTGGGTAGGCTCCATGTGTTGTATGGATGATTGCAGACAGAAAGAAAGTAGACAGGCTACGACAGTGATGGCGAACCTTTTAGAGACCAAGTGCCCAAACTGCAACCCAAAACCCACTGATGTATCATCAGATGCCGGGTGGGTGTGGCCCATTGGATGGGTGTGGCCCATTGGATGGGCATGGTTGCGGTGGTAACGGCAGGGTGGGTGGGACTAAAAAGTTCAATCAATCAATTCCAACTTTGCGAGATCTTTTTTTTCCCTCAAGAAGTTGAAATTGATTGATTGAAACTTTTTTATTTTTTTGCACACGGCGGAGGTCTAAAGCGAAAAGGTTTTATAAAACCCAGCTGAAGGCCTAGGACTGGGGCAACAGGGCACATGCCCACAGAAAGGGCTCTGCGTGCCACCTGTGGCACGAGTGCCATAGGTTCGCCACCATGGGGCTAGGAAATAAAAACCCAACAATATCAAGTTATGCATCCCTTTCACAAACATCTAGCACTGGTAATAATCTCTAGTTATTTTTTTATTGTTAACTATATGTACATAGATTGTACATTAATAAAGATATTTGCATACAAATAATTATATGAAGAGCCCAAATCTTCATATTCACATTTGTTTTTCTGGTTATGCTGTACATAAAGAAGATGATTTGCATTTGAACTACAAAATTATCAGAAGAAAAGTTTGACTCTGGGCTGTTGTTGTTTTTTAGAAGAGCAGTAGGGAAGTTGTATAAACTAAAGGGTGCAATATTGAATTCATTTCTGGTTCTAGATATGTCCTGCTTTCCTTTCATTCCAGAGATAATTGATAGCTTATTAAGACTGTGCCAAAGAGTCTGGCAGAACAAAGAAGAGATAAGTTGTTCAAACTTCAGCACAAACTGTAAAATTTAATTTCAGTTACTAGCCATTGCTTTTAAGTGTACATTTTTTCTCAATTTTGCTAACTTCTTATCTTCATAAAAACCTGTAGGAGGGGGTAAAAGAATAGCTCTATTGGGTTAAAAAAATATGTAACTCTAATGAAGGTTTAGATTTTTGCAACCTAGATCTGCAGAATATACTTAACTTTTACAGGCAATTGTTTGCAGCCTATTGTATACAGTCTTAAATCTGAATTAAAACTCTAATGGGCAAAAGAATAAGATACAGTGAATTTATTGCACATAAGGATCAGCAAGCTCTATTATGTTTTTGTGAGCTTCACAAAAAACCTGTCTGGGACTTATCTCTTGGAAGTATAGTAGTCTTCCCCAGCTACCCTGATGAAGATTAATAAGCTATGGTAAATAAATTTAAAACAAAATGGCATGGAGTAAAAAATAATTACAGACAAGGATCCCATAAAGTATATTACTTTATTTCTTTAGTCTTTAGCAAAGACTAAATAAATTAATAGAGAAGATAAGAGATAAAAGTCTCATATTTCAGGTGATGATTTATTACCTTTTTAATCACAAAATGCCTGTTATCACCTGCTAAGTATGATAGACATGTGTAATCCTTGTCAGATCCTATTATAATGTACCATGTGAACTAGTACAGTTGTGTATGCATTTCTCTAGGGGATCAAGGTTTCTGCTCCAATCCAGCTGAAATTAGTCTTACTTCCATTGAAATGTAGGATTTTAGTTAGACTGTTAGATAACATGCCTATGTAATATGGAACAGACTATTGGTTTTCTAGGTCCTGTAATGGATAATTACATACAGCCTCAGGTTGTGTATGTCAATAAAACAATTTTTCCTTTTCTCTCTCCACCCACAATGTTTCCACAATAGGACATCGTCAGAAACTGGATGAGCAGACAAAGACTGGAAGTTTGTCCTTTTCAGAGCGCCTGAGTGAACTGGAACAGTTGCGCCGCACAGCTATAAGGGTTAGCCCACATCATCCAACCCCAGCACCTAACCCAAGAGCTTCCTTGAACCACACAACTGCTTTTAATCCTCAACCCCAGAGTCAGATTCAGGGTAAGCATTTGAATTTTCTCCCCACTCCATTCCCATCATGTAAAAGGTTGCTTATTGCCTGTTGGAGTCATTTTTTTTTACACAATTGATTATATAAGATGGCTTTTCAGGATGATTGCCCTTTCTCTTGGTTTTATATGGTACATATATATGTAATCATAGGGCACAGCTTCAACATATTAATAGGCTAGACTAGAGGTCTCCAACCTTTTGAGCACCAGGGACTGGTTCTGTGGAGAGAGGTTTTTCTGCGTACCGGAGGAGGCGTGGCTTCATGTACTGCCTGCATCCCGCGGATGGGGCTTTGCTTGTTTGCATGGACCAGTTTCTGGCATGCGGCAGCCCAGTACCGGTCCGCGGACCGGGGGTTGGGGACCCCTGGGGTAGATGGGGATGCAGGGAAACACAGGGGAATGTCCAGGGAAAGCAAGTGGGCTGCTGTTACTGCTGCTTCCGCCTACAACATCTGCACGAAATGATTATTTCTTTATGTTTGTCATCCCTGGGACCAAAATGTTACTAGAACTACTTTCCTCCCCAATTCTAAATTTCTGTATTATTGTGGAGTTCTTCTTTCTCCATTTTGTTGGAGTCTTACAGTATTGTAAAACATATACAAAGTAATGTGTAAGGAAAGAAAGAACAGACTACTGCTTTTTACTAGAAAAAGGCTCTTTCAGTCCTAAGGAGCATTAAGTAGGGAAAACACTGACTTTCTGCACATCTGTCGCTTTGCAGTTCCAAATTCTCTGTAGAAGGCTGTTTCGCTTCAGAAAGACCAGGAGTAATTAAATATTTGTTTTAAGCATTTGTATCTAAAAGGAAGTAAATGTTTTTACTTTTAATATAGTAGCTCAATAGTGTTGTTTTTAATTAATTCAATATTTTGGGCATTATTTTTATAAAAACAAGATCATCAGATTTCTAAATAAATAGGTGAGTGTTCATATCATAGATTGCATTGTGTTAAGAATGGTCAGTAACAGACAAAGAAGATATTCACATATTGTTTTACAGATATTTTACTGAATTCATATGTAATCCACTCTCTCGTGGTCACCCTCATGATTCGATGGCATATTGTTTTAGATCAGGAGTGTAGATTTTTAACTTCCCATGCACACATAATGGAGACAACAGTCTCCATAGCTTTGCATTATAGGGGGAGTTTGAGGTGGCTCTGACATACTGGGCATTTCGCTAAGCTTCAGAAGTTGTCTTTAGAGCATAATTTGTTTGTAAGCAGGGATTAATCTGAAGATTCACATCTAGACTTCCTCAGTGCTACACTTTTTGGTTTACAATCTGCTTAATTTCAGAATGCTTCAGAAGAATTATGAATTCTTTCAAAGCATATTTTTTTTGGTCTTGAAAGTGGAGTTCATCTTTAATGGATACATGCTAATGAATATTTTATTTTTGTTCACTTAGAATGTATATTTAAGAGTATTCCATTGTATTGGAAGAAATAAATTTGAATTTATAAAGAACAGATACATTTGCACTTACTGCACACAAAAATTCAAAACATTTGAGTTTGCTTCAAAAGGATATACAAATTTTTGCTACTAAGTATGTTTCTCGATTGCAACCTGATTTGTTTGCAGTAATATGCAAGCATAATATGCAAAGGTAATATATATAGTAAAAGCAAAAATGTTTGGTCAAAGAACCTGTGGTGCTCCAGTTGTTGATAACTACTATTCGTCTCAGTCTTATTCACCATGGCTAATGATGAGGGATTCTTGGAATTATAGTTCAAAATATAAGAAGGGCCAGATATTTTTTTACCTTTGATCTAAATAATCACTTTGTTGCTGTAGTATGGCATCAGCTTAACTTTATTTATATTTATCTGACACTTAAGATCCACCAATGTTATTGAAATTTACTTCTCTATAAAGTAATATGATGAAAATCTGGTATGCTTTAATAACAAAGCTCATTTTCTAGCTTATATTTTATGTTCTATAATAAAAATATATTCATGTATTATCTAACCATTAGCTTTGCAGTGAGATTATCTCTTGTTTCAACTTTCATTCCAAGCCATAGTAATGTATGTAAATTAAACCATTCATGCCCTGAGTAGCAATTTTAAAATTTAATCAAACTTTAAATAGATGAATGAATATGTTAAATAGCCTGATATCTAATAGGTAGTTTACCAAGTTATTAAACACATACATGACTAACACGTTTGCAATAAGGATAGCAAGTTTTTTTTTTACAAAAATGAAAGAAACAAGATTCATCCCTTGATACAGAAAAAAAATTATATTGGTTTAATTTTGTATCAGGTCACAGATAGGAGGAGAATATTGAACTGAAGTATGTCGGGAAACACATTGAAAGACAGAAAAGCCTGCTTTCTGGGGTCTAGGAATCTACTACCTCTGCTCATTACAGCAAAATCAGCATTGGAACATTTGCTGTATTGGATAGTATAGAATGCTGATAGGATTCTTTGATTTATCTGTCCTAATCTCTTCTAACTATCACAAGTCTGCAAAAATCCATCCACCAAACATAGGCTGCTGTGATTTGCTGTCATTATGGTAAATGGCTACTATACTGATAGATACAGCCGTTTGTCAGAATTTGCATCCTCCCTTCTTGTCTGTTCAAAAAGTGATGAGTTTACAGAACTAAAACCAAGTTAAATCACTAGCTGAGTAATCACAGGTTTAACCGTAGCAGAATTCACTTCCTCTTTGCCTATGTAGACTGAGGGGAAGGATACAGTAGCTTCTTCAATGGACTTTTGATCTTGCACATCAAAGACCTAGCAAGCAAAAGCTTGATGTCCTGTTCATCTGCAACTCTGCCACCTGACTGGCCTGGAAGAGGAGACAAATGAAAGCAGTATGTTTTTTTATCCAAGAGATCCCTGGTCTCATGGATCAGCTGATCCTTGGCATCAGAGATAGCATTTTGAAAGAGCTGTTCTCTTCTGTCACTTGCCTTCTGCGCACGTGTATGGAAAAAAAGTTTTCATACCAACAAGATTGATATTCACTTTAATGACACAATGAGAATAATATCTGGAACCCTTAAATCCATACTGCTCTCATGACTCCATGTTCTTTCTAACATTGCCCCTCCTGATCTCAGGTGACAACAGACAGGCCGAGAGTGGTATAAGATAATTATGCCATTAACTGCTAGATATCTTCCAATATAAAAAATATGTATAAAAATATGTATTCTCTACCTCTCACTAGACTTAAGTCTAGGAAACCAGTTTGCGATAACATACTACACTTTTATGATTTAGATGAAGAATAGTGATTAAGATGAACCACTTTTAATAATCATAACCACACACGGATCCAACAAAACCACTTCCAGGAAGATAGTTTCCCCGAAAAATATGGAGCCACCTGAATAGAATTAGAATAGGCCATGTCAGAACTAAGGCAAAGCTCTTTAAGTGGGAAATGGCCGAGAGCCTACAATGTGACTTTGGTATTCTGGAACAAACTATAATATATATATTTTAAGAATGTCTTGTCAGGAAATTTCAAGGCACCTGGGATAATCTTATCATAGCCACACTAGAAACAGTTAGATGATGAGCTTCTTTAGATATTGAATTATACCATCCATCCCATTGCAGTGCTATAGTGATGGATGGTATATGGTGATTTTATTATAGTTTCATCTTAGTTTAATATTTTATCTTCTATATTGTATCATCACATCTATCTATCTATCTATCTATCTATCTATCTATCTATCTATCTATCTATGCTTTATTTAAACTAAATTTGTATATCAATGATTACATGACCTCTGTAGATGCCATACACTAAATACTGTAAATAAATAATTTTCCTTCCCAGGATCAGCTATTAAGCCTCCCAGCTAAGGAGGGCAGGTGAGGTTGCATAGAATAGAGGGAGGGAGAGGCTGTTGATTTCCCCACAATCCCACGATAAGTTCAGCCTCCTCCTCCTCCTCCTCTCCTCCTCCTCCTCCTTCTCCTCCTCCTCCTCCTCTGACTAGTCCATACCCCCATTACTGGTTAGCTGGCTGGACTGATCCCTTCAAAACCATACTAGTTATTCTCCCACTTCCCAGCCTGACTGGTTCTAGAGCACAGGTCTAGGGACTATAGGAAGACATGCTCAATCTAGCTTAAACTGCTCGATGGACCAAGAGTCTCCTGATTGCAAGCTGGTTAAATGAAGGAACATTGTAATATATAGCAGAAGAAAGAGGCATATTGTGCCATGGTTAGCTGTAAGTGCAGAAAGGTCTTATGAGAGCATATTACTTGCTTTTTAATCTACTTTCCCATCTGGTTTTTCACAAACTGGGAAACCAACACCACAAAATGTATAGAAGCTGAAAGGTTAAAATAAACTTTGGATTTCTAACAGGTTAGTAATTCTCCAGCATGATGAGTGTAGAATCCACCAGTGGGTAATTTCTGCTCAGAAGAGTCAGAACTTTAGCCACGCCTCCCTCTGGGTGTGTCTTCCCAGTTTTTGACTTAGTCTCGGCTCAGTAGGGCGCAAATCTTTTGGCTCCTTAGCTAGGCTAGGTTAATTGATCATCTAACTGACTTTAATTCATTCTGCAGTATCTAAATTGTAGTTTTTTTTCCTTTTTTCAATTGGGACTCAAATTGGCTAAATTTAGCATTGGAATTTGACTCAGGCCTTCTGGCTTCGAGCCTAACAGGCTCCTGTGAAGAAGGCTGCAGGCTGTTTTCATGTAGAGCTTTCAGCTCCGATTAAGCGGATCAGTGGGAGCGCGGACCAGCCGACCAGCTGGCTTGCGGCAAACGGAGTCTTTTCGGGACTCAGGCAGTTCGGAGGCTTTGCTTTCAAGTTTCGCCCACACGAGGCTTCTCTCAGCAGCAGAGTTTGGATCGCAGTGGAGGCTGCGCAACTAACAGCAAGTGCCTTTTACGAATGGGGGAAAGTGCTTTCTTAGCTTGGTTGATTCTTAAGGTTCTGTCTAGCAGGGGGTTTGATTACCTTCTATTCCCC